TCCACCGCTTCTCCCTTATCCACAAGGCTCGTTATCTTATCAAAGAAAGTTTGCATATGATTTCCTTAATTATCTGCTCCATTATCTTCCCTGGGACAGACGTTAAACTGACCGGTCTGTAGTAACTATCTGGAATCTTAAGCCTGTTATGCCTCACAAATCCATCATATTTCCTACCTGGAAATAAGGATGTAAAATCCTGTTTAACAGGTTAAGCTTAACGTCAGCTGATTGAACAAGGGGTGGGCAGGCCACTCCCTTCCATGCCATGTGCAGGGACTGCTCCCAGCCCTGTGAGAGGCCAGAAGCGGCAGCCCTGCCCCGGGGCCTGGCCGAACCACGGCGAGCCCCGCTCGCCAGCCGCGCTGTCCGGCGATCTGCGCATGCGCAGATTGCCCAAACCCAGCTCTTCTGGGTTGCAGTCTACTCGCCACGGGTGAGTAGATTGTATTATTTGTTGAGCCCTGAATATTACCACATGGAAATTAGGTTACAGAGAATTATTCATTCATTCTTGCAGTAAAATGTGATTGTTTCAATGTCTCTAAAATATGGAAACATGCTTTTGGTAGGTAATACTGCATAAGTGAGTTGAATTCTGAGGTTGTTGCCTTGATAAATATACTTTGGGAAGGCTGTTGCAAACATCACTTTCAGAATATAAGAAAGTAATATTTGTGGTAAGAGTCAAAAAGGGATAAAGGGATATAAAAACTAATCTTTTTAATAGGCTAGAAGGAGGAACTTGAAAGGAAGTTATGTTAAACACAGGCAAGGAGTTTGTCTTAAGTATTTGTCTTAAATTAGTTTTCTGCGTTCTGTATATTGGCTTGCCAGTAACAAGGTCTTCTCACTTATTCCCTTGACTTTTTTTCAGAAATCCAGTCTCTGTAATGCAGTGGTCATCAACCAGTAGACTGCGATGGACTTGTCGATCGCAGAGTCTCTGACAATCAATCTCAGTCTCAGTTTAGGGTTGCCAACTCTTCTGATTTGTTCAGCAGCACAGTGGGTCTAAAGCAAGCTGCCTGCTTGCCCTGGCCCTGCACAGCTCCCGGGAGCATCTGACATGTCCTTTTGCCAGGGTGGATTGATTTAAATCAAGCTTTCCACTGATACTACTTCATGTATTTCTTCAAGCAATGGTGCAAATCTAAATCACTAAAATATGTTAATTTACAGCTCAGTACAGATTTTACAACATCCAAGAGGGTATGCTTTCTGTAATTTTTCTTAGATAACTTGATTTGTATTAATTGAGGAAATAGTATATAATACTCATTACCTGTGTCAAGCTGCAGATGCAGCAGCAGTATATTAGGAATGGTAAGAACTAAATAATACACATTAGCCCACATATTTTGTTAAACTAAAACTTAAATGTTTCACACTTGGAACTGCAGAAGGCTGGAATTGCTGGCTGATGGCTGTCCTTAAACTTTTTTTAAATGTTCAAATACTAGTGAAATGCACCCTATGCTCACTATGCTTACCAACTCCACCATCACCCCCCCAGCTGCTTTCGTGGCCAGAGAGCATGATAACATCATTCTGTTGCCAGGCAGGAAAAACTTTTTATATAGTGAGATTATTAACTCTTAACAGACTAGCTGTACAGTGTCCTTAAAATTTCTATAATTAGCTCTCATCTTTCCCGCTCCCACTGTCATTTTGATGCAGTTCTGATTCCAAGTTACCAAAAAGCTAAGGCTGACTGTACTTAGAACATATTTAGTTTTGGAGTAAGCTCCATTGATAGTATAGAATGTGGTTCCTTTCAGAAAGTTGAGTTATGCTGAAGTAAAATAGAGAACAGACATATGGCATCACCATTTTGGCCTGTGACTATGATGTTCCAAAATAAATGTATTATGAAATAAGAAAGTCAAACTTGGTGGCAACTCAGAAATCAATGCCCCCTCCTGCACCAAACTCCCTGCCCTGAGCCCCTTCCCACTGAGAGCTTGTACCTGGGATGTGAATGAGTAGTCAAGCAGGAACGTATTGGGTAGCACTATCGACTACTCAATCACCTCTTCCGGAAAACCCTACGCTGCCACTCTGCATTCTGACAGGTACAGAGTAGCAGCAGTCTCAGTATAAGCTCCCCCACACCCTGGTTGTCACGTTTTATTTTTAAAGGGACAGAGCAGTAGCAGCTTAAGAGAAAAAACTGTGGGACTGGCTGGTGCTGTTCTGTCCTCAGTATCCTAACCCAGCCCCTTCCAGAGCCCACACACTGCACCCCAACCTGCTGCTTCAGCCC